AATCTCTATAACCTCTGTCCACAACCTATCATTCCGCGGGAAAAGAAGAGTGTTCGTTGGATCAATCCAGCCAAAAGTCCAAAGAAAAAAAAAGCCCACCTTAATCACATCGCCCTTCTCAAAAGCCAACTCCCCAGGTTCTGTAGGCTGAAATGCATGCAACGCTTTTACTCGCGTCACGATTCCCGCCGCATTCATATTCAACGGCGAAGAAGGTTGTGTTTCAGTCGAAGAAGAGTCACTTGTAATCCCAGTACCAGTATCAGCGGCAATAGATGGCGTAGAGGTCCTCGGAGTCGTTATCGACTGACCCATAGAGGAGGCACCTGAATAGATGGAAGAAGAGGAAGTGTACGAAGGATGTCCACCTCCACTTCCAGATCCTGACCCGGATGCAGAAGCGTATCCTGACCCAGATCCCGAAGCATGCCCGTTTGTCCTATTTCCACTTCCGCTAGCGCTCCCACTTGCCACATACCCTCCCACATACCCAGACGCAGACGAATAAGCGTCGCCTGAAGTACCACTCCAAGCCCCTCTCCCACCTCTATCCTGCATACTCATCTCTAAAACCCTCTGAAGCTCCTCTTCTTCTTTCCTCCTGATCTCGTCGTCAATCGCTGGTGGGGGAGGTTCGCTTGGCGTTTCAAATTTGTAGCCTGTTTGAGTGGGAGGGGAGGAAGGAGTTAGTTATGTCGAAGTTTAAAGCCGAGAGCACACAAACACACCCTTCGTTTGTAACCCGTTGTAACAATCCTCCATTACGCCCAGCGTGGGGTCCTTCTCGAACTCGGCTGTCCACATCGCAATCAAAGATAGGATTCGGCGACGGACTTTTTCGTGTGTATTCTAATTGAGTTTTTGTATTAGAGAGTTGAAATGGAAATAAGTTGTTTACTTAGTTAGTTAGGAATGAAGAGAGGAAAAAACAAGAAGGGAGGAAAGAGAAGAGAGAAAAGAAGACACCAGGAAAAGAAAGGACAATTCCAGTTTAAGCGACGCTGTCGGTGTCCCGACTAGCACACACTGCTCGTCAATGCACCGGTCCCGTTCGACTGCTCGGGTACGATTACAAAACCCAATAGGTCACACTTCTTCATGACGTGGAATCCACCATCAGTCACCGGTACCACCATCATCATCGACAACATCATCACCATCACTTGACGGACCCGTATGAGTTCCCGAGTTCTCGAGGCTCAATGAAGGGAAGATAAGGGACGAAAATAGTGAAAAGAAACAGAAAAAGCGAATCAAGAGATTAAACTCGGAGGTTATAAGCGGGTTTAGCTTCAGCGTAGTGCCGTTTGAACCTTAGCATGTTAGGAGCTTGAAAAGGGTAGCTTCGCTGTGGATCCCGAGAAAAGAGAGAAGAAAGCAGTAGAAAAAGGCGAACACAGACGCGCTAGTGCCAATGCCAGTGCCGGTAAGATGCATGAGATAGTAGAATAGGTACAGCTTCACAATCTCACATCCCCACGTTCCATTCCGTTCGAACTGTCACCCGGCTGGTCATCTCTTATCCAAGTGTCAACAACATGACTGAGATTGGCGCCGGTATTGAGTGCTGTCGTGTCGTATGATTTGAACGAAGGAGGGAGGCAAGAAAACAAGGAGACAGGAAGAAAAAACAGCCAAAGCACAGGGATAAACAAGTGCCGAAGTAATGGAATGGCCCAAGTCGTCCAGCGGATGTCCATCCTTCCGAAGACTAAGTACATGCGCGAGAGCTCGGTGTGGTGTTGGCTCGTATCAGCTGTCACGTCGCCAAACCTTTGGGGGACTCATGGGGACTTTGGGGACCAAGCCAGGGCCCAAAAAACAGCCCTACACCCTTCCACCGAACATTTTACACCCTCTCACTCCTAAAACAGAACCAGAAGGAAAGACCAAAGGCAAACACGGAGAGAAAAAAATGCAACCTCGAAAAAATAAGAACATCAGACACTCACTCTATCAACAACAACTCTCTCCAACCCACCCGTCCAAGCTCTGCTCGCCAACTCCCTATGCATCTCGATACCACAGTTCTTGGAAAGAGCTTCCGCGAGAGTGAGCGTGTAGAGCTGTACGTTCGGGTTCCTATGTGCCAAACGTTTGAGTAGGGCAACCAAGACTTCATGAGCACCCTCTTGGCCCTCGTCGTTGACCTTGTCGCAGAGATTGAGAATGAGCTCCCAGTTTTCGGTAGTCAAGTTTTCATCTGTTGTTTTCGCTGTGCAAGAGAGACATATTAGGTTTTTGGTCTTGGCTTGAAGAAGTGTGTATAGAAGTAAAAGGTCGCGATACGCACTAACTATATCATCGTAAGCACTGGCGGAACCTCCACCAAACATTCCAGACATCGTTAGCGTGTATACTTATGCGTATGTGTGGGTTGAGTGATCTGTGGTCGTCGTCGTCGTCGTTGAGTGGTAGCAACAAGAACAGCGCAGCGATTGGAATCAAATCACCAATCACCACTCCTTGCCAGGGCTCCCGTCAATACAGTGGCTGTGACCATCACTATGTACGTCACATGACCAGTGAGGGACCAATGACGCGGAGGTCCGCAGTCGGCAATGCTCGGAGCGGCTTTTCCGCGATCGAAAAGCGGTGCACAGGTCCACGGGAGGCACGTGAGCTAATAGACGACTGAGCGTCTGTAACACAGCGTTCTTCCAACTGCACAACAACTCGTCCCTCTCCCTCTCTCCCCTTCTCTCTCCCCAAGCCTCGATAGCTCCAAGCAAATGGCTAAGAGTACGTTTGTCTTGTAAACTTATTCTTTCAGCCTCACCTAATTAGCTTCACTAAACTCCCCGTATACCTCAAATCGATCGATTTCCATTGATCATCCTTACCTGACTCGGACTTTCTAATCATATCTCTCTCGCACTGCCTACGCACGTTCGCATGCAAAAGTCCCTCGCAACTTTCGTCTACTCGAAGAATTAGAAAAGGGTGAAAAGGGCATCGGTGATGGGTCTTGTTCGTACGGATTGGAAGACGGAGATGATATCATGATGTCCAACTGGACTGGAACTATTATTGGGCCTGGACATGTGAGCAGTCATAGTCGTCTTTTCTCCATGCTCCTCTCCATTCTTCATTCACACTTTCCTTCTTTTTATCCTCTTTTCCCATTTCACCTACTACCATCACTAACACTACTTCTTACCCCTCCTACTCTTCCCGCCCCACACCTCATACCTCCTCCCTTCCTCCTTCTCACAGACCGTCCACGAAAACCGAATCTACTCTCTCAAAATCACCTGCGGCCCCTCCTACCCCGATTCCGCTCCGACCATCCGCTTCCTGTCCAAAGTCAACATCCCGTTCGTCAATCAATCCACAGGCGAAGTTGACCCTTCTAAACTGAGCGTTTTGTACAACTGGAATCGCCAGTTCACGATGGAGACGCTCTTAGTGGAGATTAGGAAAGAGATGGCTTCATTTAACAATAGGAAGTTGCCTCAACCACCTGAGGGGTCGACTTTTTGAGGTCTTTTCTTGGTAGGAGGGGTAGTAGGATGGATTTGTAGATTTTGTTCTTTCTCTTCAACAGAATTTTCCTCCTTTACTTCTTTTCTCTTTGACTTTGTCACTTTTTTTTTGGCGGGTAAACATGACTGCATAATCCAGAGTGGGGAAGCGGCGGGGTTTAATCGGACGAATCGATGACTCGGTGTTGCTTGGTCAGTAGAGGTCTCGAAGCTTACAGCAGTAAAAACCAAATGTAACAACTCACGACAAATGCGCACTTCCATGTGATACACATACCATGGTTATGTATGATATGATAATCTGCATTGAATGTAACGAACCTTTTTCTTTCTCTATTCCTCTCTTGTGCTCGGATTCATTGATCTCATCCCGTCTCAATCCAAACCATGCAAATAAACCCTTGACGACGTTCCGAAAAGTTCTACTTACTCCAAACCTTTTCTTTTGGATTCCTTCCTCTCTTTCTCTAAATTGAATCAACACATGTTCACAGTTCAACCATATGCATTCCTCCAGGACCACCCTCAACCGATCACACACATCGCCGTATAGCCAGGTAGTGAAGGTACCCGACTCCAAAATCCTCATGCACACCTTCAAGTTCAATTGACCCTTGAGTACTTCAATACGAAATTTGGCGTGCAAGCATACTTATACATGAATAAGGCTAAGCATTCCACTGACTAGCAACCTACCAACCAAAAAGAAAAAGCGTAAAATAACCTCGGTTTAACCTCATCTATCTCCTCGGGTCCGTGTATTCCATGGACTTCAAGTATTCGGACTTCAGGGACGAATATTGGTACCAATGAACTCAAAGCAGGACGTCAATGAAACGGAAATAAGTATGTAGGTCTCGGACATACTACGTATTACTCATACTTAGACTTAATATGATCATGATCGTTGCAATAATGAATACCAGTACTTAAAGTACTTAAGTACTATTTTGTACACGTATACATATGGGGTCGTGACTCAAGGGCGTTTCGAATTCGATGCCAACTTTATTGAACATGAACATTATAATCAACAACATCACTTACCTACCGATTCTTTGAATTGCAAGAACTTAAGATCTCAAACCAAACATTCATTTAGCTTCACCGAGGATCGTCTTTTCCTATCCGTTTCGAACATGTAACGAAAATCTAGGGGTTGGGTTACTACTCGGGCCCTTTTAATTGATCAGCTCCTTGATTGAATCTGGAGGAAAAGAACTAGTAAAATTAAATACAGAAGACATTCCTACGTACCAGTCCACAAAAAAAATCCATCCCAAACTCCGACCATAAGCCAAGTTCTGACATCAGCTACATGTTTCATAACTCGTGTGGAAGTAAATCGACTTCAAGAACATTTACTACGTGTGCTAAGTATGTCATTCTAGATCACTTAGACTTCCTCCTCGTCTCCCCATCACTCTCTGTTCCCAACCCTTCCGATCTCCCTTCAAATAGACTTGCTCCATGAAGACCATATGAGGTTTAGACCTAGATGAACCTTTTATACGTGGCCTGATGGTCTAGTAGTATGATTCCTTGTTAGGGCTTGCATGGTCTTTCGAGGAGGTCCCGGGTTCAATTCCCGGTCAGGCCCTTTAAGAGGTACTAGAATGCTTTTTGAACTGAGAACTGGGACTGAGATAAAAAAATGTGGTAGAAGAACGGTGGGCACAGAGAGGGATTTATGTTTTTTTCCTCTTCTCTTGTTTGGAAATTGGAGGTGAGTAAGGACTCTAAGGAGGGGAGGGAGGAGATGGGTTGGATAACAAGCTGAATAGTTCAATAGAAGAATGAAAGAAAGGCAAAAAAACAGTAAATACTAGTTATATGATGAAAAGCAGAGCATTAGACCGCATTCGCAAAGAGAAATTTGAAGGCCCCGCTCAGAAAAATGGAAATGGGGCTAACAAAATTCGGAAATGGAGCTAATAAAATTTGGGAAAACAACTTGTGTTACAAGTCTGCATCGCGGCTCTTCTTGTGTGTTATGCCTTCAACTGGTTATTTTCCTGTAGAATTTTGGATAATGGGCCCGGTGGGGCCTAATGCAGAACGTGTCGTTTCTTAGCGCAGAACAATTTCCATATTTCTCTTTGCGAATGCGGTCTATTGGACAGTTTAACAACTTCCTACAATTGGTAAATATTGATTTTTTATATATTGTTAATGATTATGTTCAGCCCATCTGATACAAGTGCGTATGACTTGAACATTATGTACAACTCCTTCCAAAAAAAATTGGATACATCACTGTCCTATCCTAGTTCTAAGCTCCTCCACTCATTATGTTATACAACCATGAACATGAAACCTATAATCTTCCTCCTCCAAATATCAAGTCAGAAACTCCTCAGTCTCTAAAACTAAAAGCTTGATGATCTATTAGCTCTCACAGAGTCAATCTCACATGCTTTGGACCGGCAATGCAATCAAAGTTTTCTTCCATTCTCAGGTTTTGGAAAATAACTCTTTTGAATCCGCAGAGTCTGTACGCACTGGCATTGGAAGAGCAAAACTCAGGTACTTACAACAAATAAAAACTTTTTCGGATGCTTTCAAGTCTGTTACTTGCTTTCACTGCCATGGAATTTCTTCAATGTGTTATCCTTCTGCTTTTGAGTTTTATACAACCGGAGACAAAGAAAAATACAATCTGCAACAATCTTCCATGATAATATGGCTTATTTTGGAAGCAGCTACCCTACATTCAACAGTTTGTAGACGAACAAAATCAGGTGCGATTTTATAATGGTGCTGTCAATAAGGGGTATTCAACTGTTAGAAATCTTGACCTACCTACATGTAAAGACGAACAAATTGCTGAATCTCGAGAACGTGGTATCTGGGTGGAAGCCAAAATTGATGCGCAGACTGAAACTTGAGATATTTGATTGTCAAGGACGCTAGATCGTGTGATTTCAAGGTTCTCTGAGCTCTTCTTCCCATCCTTTCCATACTACGACAGGGACACCACACAGCCGATAAATTGCATTTAAGTATTCCAGGTCCCTTTGAGAAAGTGTCCCTTATTTCGACCATATGCTCTTTGAATGCAACTGAGAGTCAACCTGAATCGGTCATGGCCCCCAGGACGCGTCCATGTTTTTTTGTCACGCCTGTATAAAAAAAGGGTCTAAATTTTTTTAATTTGATGATATTGTCTCCGGTATTTAACATGCTTAATCTGACCTTAAAAACATACAAGGGTCCTCCGAGTCCGACAGTGCGCAAGGAACATAAGTATTTGAATCTAGTAAGTGCCGTATTCAATTAGGTGGTCACGCGTCACATGGTCCCAAAATTGGAACTTGCTCCAGTCACAATACTGGCTTCGTCTGTCGCCAGAAAACCTCCATGAAATTTTGAAATTTGGCATCTTTTGCAGAAATTTTTGGTTCGTCAGGGGTGCTACGGTCACTCATCCCTACCGAGCCGATCGAAATGATTTCTCCAATTCCCGTTAAGAAAAATAAGTGCCTAGCGTCTCATCTAGAGTCCTAGACCTCATCGGTGATTTTTTTCCAACTTAGACTAAGTTGATACAATGAGATTGATGAAGTACTTCTATACAAGGGACCTGTATCATATCTACTGCGGGACCGCTATGAACTTCTTTTTGCTGCGGTCTAGATCGATGTCTAGGCCCATCAGCCAGTCTAGACCGAAATTGAATGAACCGGAGATCATAAGGGCGAATGTACGTTTATATTTACATGCCTATCAAAAAGACTTTGAGGCTGAAATAAAGTATTTGATGTACCTCCCTTGCAGAATATAATCGTTAATGCATTACTACCGATTTAGTACTAGGTACTGATTGCTACCGTTTTCTCCACCTTTGTTATTTCGAAAGGTATCTTTAGCGAAGCAGTAGCACAAGGACACAGGGGCTGGAATCATTGATGGTGCTGAAGGTACTGTCTCAGTTTGTGATGCATTAGTATCCAGGGGTCTCTTCTCGTACTGTTTAGGCAAGAATCTGAATAACTGAAATATTTCAACACTTTTCTCGTAACTCGTGTAGGCACTTATGACTCTTTTTTTGATACTTCTTTCCGCTGCTAAGACTGACATGATCCGTAGTACCAGGATATTGATAACAGGGGATGCAAAAGGCCACTGGCGGTGACTCTCATCACTGGAAACAACCGTATGTCATTTCAGAGAATTTCATTGATGTACGAAGCTCAAAAACGGTGATAATTGTCCGAGAAGTTGAAAGTGTTATCGGTTTCGTAAACGTGACCGCTCCATCAGACAGGGGGTATACAGAGTAATTATACATTGTACTGGATAAGTCGTGCAAACGCGAAGGCAGGGCAATGTCTCTCACTGGCAAGACGCTGTCGGAGTCGGTGGCTTGTATATTCCGCGTATTATCGGCTCGAAATAATTACTAGAAATTTCTAAATCTCTACATTCCGTTATCGGAGTAGCTGGTGGATGAACGATTCTTGCATAGCATAAAGTATTTGTATCGACTTTGTTGTTGACACAGTACTCTGAACGTCAGACACAGTTTACTTCCTGGAGTCTTAATTTCTATTCGGCAGGGAGGGAATACTTATCGGTGACCAAAACGTGTACTTTGGTACTACATACGCCAGCTTTCTTGATTCTCTTTCCGTTGTCTGACGTTGATTTTATGTTTGTGGATCATCGCAAAGTGCATCATTTTTTGATCGACAGATACCCAGATCGAAGCCACCAACTCGAACTTGAAATTCTTATCGCGAAGACCTGTGCCGGATATTCTGTACTACATATCAACATCATATCGACAACAGAGTGTCATGATGAGTCTCTCTAATCTCCTAGGGATTTACGCCGAAGCAGGCTGCGTAAAGTCGGGGCTCATGCAGGGTTATTGGAAGCATTCACAATACAACGGGAAGCACTGCCGACACGGGATGTCCTCGGCGGTATACTTAGTTAATGATGTCATACCTGTCATCCGAGCATGCCTGAATAGGGGCCTAGACAAACAGTCAAGACCAGGATATGAAGAATGCCTACCCTAAAATTGAATTTCTGGTAGACACAGAAAGAACGTGCTCGTTTGTTTCCACCGACGAGAATTCACCGAATTAACAACTAATGATAATAATGACATTTGAGAAAGATCTCTTGAACGTTGAATGAGCAGCGGACCGAGAAACCTAAAGACTTCTGTTCCGGGAACCTGGAGAGCCCGCCACCCACAGGAAAATATTGAGTGCTTCATATGCTATGTTTTTGGACTCCGTGAAGAAGGGAGTTTGACAAACTACCCTAAAACTCAAGAATCTTTGGTACAAACAAAGTTGTTCATCGAAGGTGATGGTCGTAATAGACGGTCATTTCAAGTCAAGTAATGCGGGTCGGACCTTGTAAATGTGTCGTCACGAAACCGCCTGTATCGAGGTCCTGTCATGGTGTGGACTAAACCCCAATGGAATAGTGTTTGACTAACCTTAGGTTAGTGACTGGTCGCCTCGAATCTTCCATGAAACTCCAAAAAGCTTGTATCGGGCTTCCACATGCATCAGTCACGACTTTGAACAACTAATGTTCTAATGGAAGAATGGATTCAGACTCTCCTGTCAACTTGAAAGGACTCGGTCATTACAAGCGCCACACGAGCACTCGGATGTCACTCATACAAGGTGGCACTCCGTGAATTAGAATAGAGTTAGCACCTAACTTGGAGTGCGCTTCTCCAAGACAATACTCCCAAAAGAGAGGCTCAACTACTCATTCGATACAGTAAGAAAGAACCAAAAAAAATGAGTGAACCCAAGCTGGCACAGATCGTGACTACAAAGTGACAACTTTCTCAGTAGTGGCACCAAATGCATGTGCCGCCGTCCGTCCTTTGCCTTTCTTTCGCTCCAAGGCTAATTGTGTTAATTGTAATCGAAATCTCACAAAGCTAGAAATTACTTCAAAGTTCATTTGTCCTTTCAAGAACTTGGATATCCCCGGAATAGTACGCTCTGTTTCGATGTGAAAACAATGTCAAAGCTATGCATTCCACCGTGATTTACAATAGTGCGGGCGGGATCCTCCGGTCTGGTTCTTTAATCTTAGGAGCACAGAAAGTAACACGACGGGCTCGGAGTCTTCCAAAGTGTGAACATTGCTTTCTGCAACAATTGCTAAAGGTTTGGTGTTCAAGAAGTATCAAGAGATCACTTGTGAGTAACCGTTTTGTCCATCACATCAAATCACAAACGGCACCGTGCTAAAAAAACATCAAGGAGCCCGGTATGATCGTCTGGAACAAAAAAAGAGTTCCTTCCGGGATGGCCGAGCATCAAAACCAACACTTCATGAAGTTGTGCAAGCTCCGAATTCTTCACGTGGATGATCACGGAAACTGACGCTCAAATCGTGGTTTGCCTGATACTATGTATGTAAAGACCATTTGGTCGAGCTCCTCTTTTTCAGCCGACTTATCATAGGTATTTCATTGTTCAACTCTACAGCCTTTAGATTTCTCTCGGCCTGTCGGTGATACGATATCTCCCATTTACTTACTTAATCCTTACTTACTTGTTCAATTCAGTCTACAGAAAATCGCTTTGTTCATATCCACTCGGTATTTATAGTATC